TAATGGAAAAATATTGTGTTACGGCCACAATTATATTGGTTCGAATCCTTTATTCATCTATATATATATAACTAATAAATTAATTTATTATAAAGCAATAAATTAAAGATTAAAGTATTTATAGAGATGAATAAAGGATTCGAACCAATATAATTGTGGCCGTAACACAATATTTTTCCATTAAATTAACTCACCTAAAATATACATCATATTTAAATTTATTTTAGGCTACATATAATAATAGGAAAGCCATCATTAATGCAAATAAACCTGTTGCTTCTGCAAAGGCAAAACCTAAAATAGCATATGAAAATAATTGTCCTCTTAGTGATGGGTTTCTTGAAACACCAATAATTAATGCACCAAAAACAACACCAATTCCAACACCAGCACCAATTAATCCAGTTGTAGCTAAACCTGTACCAATAATTTTAGCAGCTTGTATCATATAAAAAATAAATTGATAAATTTTAAAACAAAAATCAGTAAACTAAATAATTAAGAACCTCAATAATAAACAGAAATATATAAAAATAATCATACAACATCAACGAAATGTCAGTATAAAATAGCAGATTCAAAACCTAAATGATGGTTTTCGGTTAAATGATAAGCTAAAATACGTCAAAAACCTACGGCTAAAAAGGCTGTACCTATAATAACATGTAGACCATGGAAACCGGTTCCAAAATAAAAACAAGATGAGTAAGTACCATCAGATATTGTAAATGATGATACTGTATATTCAATACCTTGGAAAGCAGTAAATATTACAGCTAAAATAATAGTATAAACAGCCCCGTATAAAGCTCCACTTCTATTACCTTGAATTAAAGAATGGTGTGAATAAGTAATAGTCACTCCAGAAGATAATAAGATTATTGTATTCAATAATGGTAATTCAAAAGGATTAATAGAATCAATTCCCATAGGAGGTCATTTTGCACCTAATTCTATTGTTGGTGAAAGAGCACTATGAAAAAAAGCTCAAAAAATAGCTAAAAAAAATAAAGCTTCTGATACAATAAATAAAGCCACACCCATGTTTAATCCTTTTTGTACAGCTAAGGTATGATTACCTAAATATGTACCTTCTGATATTACATCTCTAAATCATAAAGACATAGATAAAATTAGAACTATTAAAGCTATTAATAAGTTATTTATACCAAAAGTAAAACTTTGAAAAGCTAAAATAGCACTAAATGTAACGGCTAATAAAGATAAACTAGTATTAAGAGGTCAAGGACTTGGAGATACTAGGTGATAGGGATGAGCTTGAAAATTACTTCTGGATGTATAAGTCAATTATATTGTTTTGTTTACTCTTAAAAGAATTTAGATATAATAATTTATTGATGTAGAGAAAAATCAGCATTATATAATAAATAATAAATATAATAATTTAAACTATCTAATATAATAGAAGGATATATACCTAGTATTATAGTAAATAAAACTAAAACTAATAACATAAAAAATTCTCTTCTATTTAAATCCGGTATATATTCAAATCAATAATTAGAATTAACAGAACCAGCAAAAGCTATTCTGTTAAACATAAAAATAGTATAAGCAGCGGAGAAAACAATAGAAGATGAAGCTAATATACCAGCAATAGGTAATCTTTCAAAAACACCGTATAATGATAAGAATTCACCAACAAAATTTAGTGTTAAAGGTGCTCCACAATTTCCTAAAGATAATATGAAAAAGAATATAGAAAACATAGGCATAATTTGTGCTATACCCCTGTAATAAGTAATTAATCTAGTACCAGATCTATCGTATAATATACCACCAGCAGAAATAAATAAACCAGAAGATACAAAACCATGAGCTAGACCTAAAGATATACCACCTTGTATACCTTGTAAAGTATTACTAAATACACCTGATAAATATACAGCAGCATGAGAAACAGAGGAGTAAGCTATTAATTCTTTAACATCTATAGTTCTAAGTGTACTTAAACTAGCGTATATTATAGTTAATATACCAATAAGGAATATAATATATGTATAATATAAAAAAGCTTTAGGTAATAAAGGTAAAATTAATCTAAATATACCGTATAAACTTAATTTTAAAACAATAGCAGCTAAGATTATACTACCTGCTAATGGTGATTCAACATGAGCTTTCAATAACCAACTATTAAGATAAATTGTTGGTGTTTTAACAGCAAAAGCTATAAATATACCAATAAACATGAATAATTGTGTTAAATACATAAAATTAGTTTTAGATAAAACATTAATATCTGTACACCCTATTAAAGATTGCATTGTTATAATAGATAATAACATAAATAATGAACCTAAAAATGTATACAAGAAAAAATAAAAACTAGCTCTTATTTTTGCACTTGAACCAAATAAACCTATCAATATAAATAAAGGAGCTAAAATACTTTCAAAAAAAATATAAAATAATAAAATATCCAATACTAAAAATATCATTAATAATAATGTTTCTAATAATAAAATTATTATTAAAAAATATTTTATTTTATTATCTATAGATTTTCAATTAGATATTATTGAAATAGGCATTATAAGTGTTGTTAATAATATAAAATATATAGATAAACCATCTATACCTAAATAAAAATCATAATATCCTATAATATAATGTTCTTGTACAAATTGAAAATGTTTACTACTATTGTCAAATAACAATCAAATTATTAAAGATATAACTAAATCTATTATTGTTACAGTTAGTGCTAATATTTTAAGTACTTTTGTATCTTCTACTGAAGATCTAAAATTATAAGAAGAATATGAAAAAATTAAAAATATACCAAAAAGAGGTATTAAAACTAGAGTCAATAATAACATAATAATATAATTAAAAAATTTTTTTTTCTACAGGAATTTACACTAAAATAAAATATAATTTAGTATATTTAGTAACATAATATTCTCAGAGAATATCCGATTCGAACGGATGTGATGTAAAAGCATCAAATAAGTTTCAAGCTTACCGCCTTAAACCCCTCAGCCAATTCTCTTGTTTTATGATTCCTCGATGACTTGAACATCGAACATATTCTTATCAAGAATACGCTTTACCGTTTAAGCTAAGGAACCTTTTGTCTAAATAGTTATATTAAATAAAAATATAAACTAAAATTAAGTTTTAATTATGTGAATATTATAATATTAATCAAGAGCACTCAGACTTGAACTGAAAACTTGAAGTTTGAAGCTTCTTATTTTGCCAATTAAACTATACTCTTAAAAAGGTCGTAAAACAACCATGTTTTCGGAAAAGAGATGAATCGAACATCCAGGTGTAAAAACACAATATTTAGCAAATATTTTACCTTACCAATGGCTACCTTTCCTATTAAACACGAATTAGGCCGGCCTCGATCCGGCATCCTTTTCCTCGACAAGGAAACACTTTACCAATTAAGATTACTAATTCTTATATAGCTTTTTTTACTATAAAAAATCCGGCTAGTCAGATTTGAACTGACACAAATCGCTTGGAAGGCGACAAGTCTACCATTAACCTATAGCCGGTTTAATAATATTAATCAATAAATATTATAGAGGACAACAATATTTGAATTTTGTTTAATTAACAAATATTTATTTACTCTCTTTATTACTTAATATATTTAATTATTTTCGGGCTACTATGATTCGAACATAGAAGATCCTCAACCCAAATGAGGCGCCAAACCAACCAGGCTCTAGCCCGTGAAAAGCCAGAAGAGAAACTTGAATTCTCATTGTTAATGCATGAAATTAATGTTCTAACCAATTAAACTATCCTGGCTTCCTCTTACCTAAGATTCGAACTTAGATAGTTATATTAGAAGTATAATGCTTTACCCTTAAGCTAGTAAGAAATAGGAGAGAAGAGATTCGAACTCTTAAAAGCATATTACTATTGAGTTTACAGCTCAACCCTTCTTACCAATAAAGGAACTCTCCTTTTATTGTATATATTTATCTATATTAATAACTTTTTAAGGCCTAAGGGATTTGAACCCCCATGATAACGATTAAAAGTCGTATGTTTTACCATTAAACTAAAACCTCTATTAATTTTATCATCTTCTAGTTATTAATATTTTTGTTTAATAGTAATTACTATTGACCCTACCATTGCTAATAATAAAATTATAGAAGTTATTATTAATCATATAGAATAATTAGTATACATAATATTACCTATACTAGTTATATCGGTAACATCTACTATGTTACTGTCTCAATTATCAGATGAAACAAAAAATACTTTTAGGTTATTAATATTAAAATTTGTTTTTGTTTCAAGAGATATATTATTATAAGGAATAAATATAGCTAAAATAGCTAAGATAGCCAAAGGTATATTATTATTTGTATTACTTATTAATTCTGAAACTCTAATATTTATTAACATTAAAATAAATAAAAATAATATAGAAACAGCTCCCACATATACTAATAAATATGATAAACCAATAAATTTAATACCTAAAAAAATTAGATAACAAGAAATAGAAGAAAATAACATTATTAGGTGTAATACAGAAACTATGGGATTTTTACTAACTATTATAAATATACCAGATAATATAGATAAAACTACGATAAGATCTAAATAAATAGTAAAAAATCCATTAAAAGTATCAAATAAAGAATAAATATTCAAAATAAAACAAATATATATCTAATTTTTTATAATAAACTTTTGTTTTATTTTAATAAAGACAATAATTAAAATTATAAAAACTATAAAATTAAAAAATGAAAATAAAACAAAAATTAATATAATTAATTTAGAATGAAAAAAAAATCTTTGTTGGAATCGAACCAACACAAAACCATTAAGTTTTTTGTAGACAAGTGTCTACAAAGAATGTAAAAAAACCATCTATATACTTTCATTAAAAAAAAATATATAGTGATAACTATACTATTTATTTGAATAGATATTTTAAAGATAATTCATCCCGTGCAATTTCCATTACACGAACCATATTTCGACTTAACACCAATTAAAGACACGCATTCGAAAATTACATATCTAAAAAATTACAACTAAATAAGTAAAATATAATAGATATATAACCAAACTTATTGCGCATACTTCTTTCAGCGCCTGACGAGTGGTTAGTACCCAACTGAGATAAAATTCACCGTGACGTGGTGATTCACGATTACTAGTAATTCCATATTCATGTAGTCGAGTTTCAGACTACAATCCACGATTAGTTATATCCAATTTTCTGGGATTAGCTCCATTTTTAAATATTGCATCCCTTTGTAGAGGTATATGTGGCACGTCTATAGCCCACGTTATTTAGGCCATGATGACTTGTCTTGGTCCCTATTATTTTTTCCTTTTAGAAAAATACTTTAATAACAAATAAAGCAAGGGTTTTCGTTAATTAAAGGAATTAACCAAAATCTCACGATATCAACTGAAGACAGCCGTGCAGCGCTTGTAATATTTCTTGTAATATTTTTAATAATATTTTTAATAATATTCAAAACGTGGTAAGGTTATTCGCGGGTCATCGAATTAAATAACATACTTCACTACTGGTTTCAGAAACGGTCTAATGATTTCAATTTGTGCATTGCCGCCTTAGTCATGAGGTGGAGTGCTTACACTTTCATTTATAAACTAAAAATTTCTAGTCTATGGCACTCATAATTGTCTCCTAGGACTAATAGGGTATCTAATCCTTTTCGCTACCCTAGGCTTCGTTCCTCAATGTCAGTTTTTACATAGAATACAGCCTTTGCCGTTACCCGTCCTACCAGTATAATAAAATTTGAACTCTCCTCTGATAATTCGTATATTCTCACATAAAACTCTAGAATACTAGTACCTTTTATGGCTTGGTATTCTATCTAGGTACCCTTTATACCGATTAAAGATGAATAACACTAGTCTTTCACGTATTACCGCGACTGCTGGCACGTAATTTGGTCAAGACTTATAGATAAAAAATCGTCATTCTCTTTATTTTATCTAGAACTTTATATGACTTAATCATTTCTTCATTCTTCCAAGTTGCTGGTTCAGCCTTTTGACTATTGACCAATATCCCCCACTGCTGTACAATTCTGCCCTGGGTTTTTTTCAGACCCAGTGTGGTCGATCGACCTCTCAGTCCCGACTACCGGATCCTGAGCTAGATTTCTATTACTCATCCGGAATATATATTAACATCTTAAAGCGAATTTTTATTTATCTTTTCTTACTTTAGTAAGGTTTATAAGGGATTTTTTCTTCCTTACTTTAAGGTAGTTTATATATAATTACTCACCTGTACACCACTTCACATTTAATATGATTTTTGTTTAATCTATATTAAATTAGACGTTCGATTAGCATGTGTCAAGCATTTGGATAGCGTTCATTCAGAGCCATCATCAAACTCAAATTTCTTATAGTTTTTACTATAGAATTATATCATCTTTTTTATAAATTTTTATATTTAAGGTTTTATTTAAGCTAGTTCTTGTTTAGTTATACAAATCCTAAATACTGCTATTTTTATATAGTGTTATGCTCGTTATTTTTTTTATTTATTTTCTATTTGAAAAAAATGTTTATACATTTATTATTTATATTTTAATATATATATTTTAGCTCCAACTTTTCTATCTTATATATTATATAATGATATATACGCTATTTAACCTTATTATATTGTTTTTATTAACAAATTGTTTTTAAAATAAAAATAATTATTTTTAATGTAATTCTAAACTATCTTTAATATATGATGAAGATAATACTACAAAGACTTGTGCTTGAATAAATGCTATTCCTATTTCTAAACCTGAAAAGGCTAGAATAAATAATAAAGGCACTAAACCTAAAAAGAAATATATTATACCTTTTTTCATTATATTATATGTAAATCCAGCTAATATATTTAATAACATATGACCACTTAAAATATTAGCTCCTAATCTTAAACCTAAAGATACATTTCTTGATAAATATGAAATAAATTCTATTAACACTAATAAAGGTAATAAACCTAAAGGACAACCAGAAGGTACTAATAGTGAGAAAAATTTTAATGAATGTATTTGAAAACCTAAAATAGTAGCACCTATAACTACAGTAAAGCTTATAGAAAATGTTAATATAAAATGAGATGTTGGTGCAAAACTATAAGGTATCATACCTACTAAATTATTTACTAATATATATATAAATAATGCTGAAATAAAAGGAAAAAACATTTGTCCTTTTTTTGCATTTATTTGATTTACTACTATACTAAATACTGTTGCATATATAGATTCTATGGATATAGATCAATTATTTGGTGTTACTATATTATAATTTGTTGCTAAAATATATAGCATAAATATTATAGTTGTTGTTATAATTAAATATAATCCTATGTTAGTTAAAGATAATTGTGTATTTCCTAATAAATCAGCTTTTATACTAAACAAATTTCTTATTGTGAATTGGTCTAAAGGACTTTGGCTTATGTATTGCATTATTTTTAAGATTAATAGTTTTTGGTTTGTAAATGCTCTTAAATAATAAAACTTTATTATTTAAAATATAAACTTAAAGTTTATTCGTTTTAAATTTTTTTGCTTTTTTTTTATTGCTTTAATTTGTTGTGTTTTTCTTTGATTCTAGTGTTTTTAAAAATATACGTGTTTTAAATAAACGTACAAATCTTGGTAAAATATATTTTGAAAAAATATATATTATTAACACCAATAGTAAAAAGTTATATGTAACTTGATTAACAAAATAAAATGGTACTAGTTGAGGCAATTAAAAAAAAAATCATATATAGCAAGAGTATATTAAACTAAAGTAGGTAATTAAAAGATAGAATATATAACAGTAAAGTTTTACACATTTAAATTACCAAATAATAAACCACATCTAAATACATTACCGGTAATTAAAATTATAATTATATATGCAATTATAGTATCAGGTAATGTTGTCGTTGAAAGATTTTCTTAAGTAATAAATTTTTATTAAAAATATAAACTTAAAGTTTAAATATACTTTGTAAAGGTAAACTTACAAAAGCATGAGGTTTAGGTGGGCTATTTAATGTTCATTCTAAAGAATTATAGTTTCTATTAAATAATGTTTGGAATAAATCAGAGTAGAATTCTGGTATTAATCAAGGGAATCTTGATGTAGCTTCACCTTCAACTAATTGTGTGTAAACTATATGTAAAAATAATACAGTAGCAACAACACTTATAATAGAACCAAAACTACTTATTAAATTTCATCCAGCAAAAGCATCAGGATAATCACTTATTCTTCTTGGCATTCCTTGTAAACCTAAAAAATGTTGAGGGAAGAATGTAACATTAACACCTATAAATAAAATGAAGAAATGAACTTTCCCTTGTAATAAGTTATAATTTAAACCTGTTATTTTAGGTATTCAAAAGTATCATGCACTAAATAAAGCAAACACTGCACCTAATGATAATACATAATGGAAATGAGCAACCACATAATATGTATCATGAAATGCTATATCAAGTGATGCATTAGCTAAAACAACACCACTTAAACCACCTATAGTAAACATAACAACGAATCCTAATGCAAATAACATTGAAGGTGTTAAATATAAAGTTCCACCATAAACAGTAGCTAATCAACTGAATATTTTAATTCCAGTTGGAACAGCTATTATTAATGTTGCAGCTGTAAAGTAGGCTCTTGTCATAAAATATATAAATAATTTATTAATAAATTATTTGTTTTATCTATCATATTTATAATAATAGAATTTTTTGGACAGTATCTTAATTTAGTGTATTTTTTTTAATACTAAATTTATTGCGTTCTTGTCTCTGAGGATCCTTTAGTTGAAATACTAAAAATTTTTTTTAAGTCTTTATATTCCAAATGTTTTTCTTTTGATATCAAAATATATATCTTTCTAAATTTTATGTAATCTTTATATTTTTCAGCAAAAACATTGTATTTATCAAAATAATCAAATAAAGTTTTATAATCTGTACTTTTATAGTATCAAACACCTAAATTATTTTTAGATAAATTTCCTAATTTTATTTTTTTATATAAAAGGTTTAAAGGTATTTTATCTTTTTGTCTTAAAAATAATTCTAATTTTACATTGTAATTTATTGTGTTTGTTTTGTTTTTTACTGTACTTATATGAAAACAACCTTTAGCTTGAGTAAAACCAGCTAATCAATGATTATCTAGACTTACTAAGTGTAAAGGGGGTAAAATTTTTATATTAAAATCTTCAGTATAATTATTGTTTATTAACTGTTGATATTTACATATACTTATTAATTTTCCGTTTATTAAAGATAATATAACTGATATACCTTTTATATTTTTGCATTCATATATAATAGCTTTTTTATTTTTTATATTATATATGCTACCATAACCTATACGTCTTTTTATATAATAAGCTAGTGAACTATCTTTTTCAGAATATGTTATATGTATTTGTTTTTTACCAAATCAACCGTTACCATCTATTAAACCGGCTAAAAAATAAGCCAATTCATTATTTGATAAATTATTTCTACGTTTAATTATATGTTTAGAAATTATTGGTAAATTAATATCCTTATTTTTAATATCTGATGTATTGAACCTAAAGTTTCCTGCTGATTTTCCTGTCATATGATAATGAAAAAAGTAAATTGTGCCTAACATAAATAATATGAGTGGATTACTTATTCAGGAGTTTCCAGCATATAGCAATATTTTTAATGTGAACACAAGTTTATCCACATCTAAACCAACAGTATACATATGATGGCTTCAAACTACGAAACCTAACACACCAATTGACATCATAGCATAAACCATACCTAAGTAACCAAACACATGTTTATTAGAACCTGTAGATATTGTAGTACTTATTATACCAAAACCAGGTATAATTAATATATAAACTTCAGGGTGTCCAAAGAATCAGAAAAGGTGTTGGTATAAAATAGGATCACCACCTCCTGCTACTTCAAAAAATGAAGTATTGAAGTTTCTATCTGTTAAAACCATAGTAATTCCACCAGCTAACACAGGTAAAGATAATAATAATAACACAGCTGTTATTACAACTGCTCAACCGAATAAAGCTAATTTATGTAATCTTATACCTGGACTTCTCATATTTAATATTGTTGTAATGAAATTCATAGCTCCAAGTAAACTACTTATACCTGATAGATGTAAAGCAAATATAGCTAAATCTACACTAGGTCCACTATGACTTTGTAAACCAGATAAAGGAGGATAAAGAGTTCAACCTGTACCTACTCCATTTTCTATCATTCCTGCAAATAAAAATAATGCAAAACTTGGTATTAATAATCAGAAACTTATATTATTTAATCTTGGAAATGCCATATCTGGACCTCCTACCATTAAAGGTAATAAGAAATTACCAAATCCACCTATTAAAGCTGGCATAACCATAAAAAATATCATCACAATAGCGTGTGCAGTGATTATACTATTATATAATTGATTATCTGCTATATATTGCACACCAGGTCCTGATAATTCTAATCTTATTAAAACTGAAAAAGCTGTTCCAGCTAAACCAGCAAATACAGCAAACATTAAATATAAAGTTCCTATATCTTTGGCATTACATGATAAAAATCATCTTTCTTTTCACATTGTTATTTTCGTAAAATTGTTCTTATGTTCATGTTCTTTTGCTATATGAGTCAATATATATATATATTTTTAAGCTTATTATTCTTTATATAATTTAATTTACACCTCTTATTATATGTAGAAAATTTTTACTATCTGCCTTTTTTTTAAGCATTGTTTATTATATAACAAATTAATTATAATGTAAAATTGAATAGGAATATGGAGGATTTGAACCTCAACTTAATGATCTGCAATCATAAGGCATAACCATATGCAACATATTCCTTTTATTTTAATAACATAATGTTAAATGTGATAACATGAAATTAATCTCAACATTATCTCAGTTAATTGCTTTACAATTTTAACCTTTATATTTCCAGAAATATAAAAAGCTATTTTTCTTTTATTTTTTTTTTTAATAAAGTGTTTACCATATCATTTATTTAATTAATTGTATTACGCATTAATTAAAATATTAAATATTTAAAATAACGTTTATTAAAATTATGTAAAAGGTGATTAAAAATATGTAACGATTATGTTGGAGCGATTCGAACACTCAATGGTAAATACCAAAAATTTATGACTTACCTATTAGTCGACAACATAGCTTATATAGATGACAAGACTCGAACTTGTAAAGTTATCACTATTCCGTCCTAAGCGGAACCTGGTTACCAAATTTCAGCACATCTATATTATGCTCGAGATAAGATTTGAACTTATAACCTAAACATCTTCAGTGTTCCGCTCAACCAATTGAGCTTCTCGAGCTTTTTTAATTATAAATAAAGGCTAAATTTTTATTAAAAATTTAACCAAAATTATGTAAGTTTATATTGGAGATATCAGGACTCGATCCTAAAATGACGAGTTGCAAACTCGCTGTTTTACCAATTAAACTATACCCCCTATATCCGAAAAACGATTTGAACGTTTATGATTAAGATCAACGAAGCTTAAGTTCGTCCTGTCTACCAATTCCAGCATTCGGATAAATCTATAATTAGTATTGTAACTTATAGGGTTTTTTACATTAATGTAAAAGTTTCATTAATGTTGTCTATTATAGATGCTAAAGATTCAAAGAAAATAAATAATAAAGTTTTATTATTTAAAATATAAATTTAAAGTTTATTGACAGAAAAAGATTAGCACATATATTCCTTTTCTGTAAGGCCAGAATGATTTGAACACTCATCTTAACTGTCATGAGCAGTTGGCTTTACCGATTAAGCTATAGCCTTTTTTTATTTATATATATTGTACGCCTTCAAGATGACTCGAACATCTAACCGATATATTAACAGTATATTACTCTACCATTGAGTTATAAAGGCTATTATAAAAAGGGAGGATACCTTGAATTGAACAAGGATATACTATGCCACAAATAGTTGTTTTACCCTTAAACTATATCCACCTATATAGTATTAAAAAAAAGGGTAAAAAATATATAGTGAGAAAAAAGTGATTTGAACACTTGACCATTCGCGTGTAAAACGACTGCTCTACCGCTGAGCTACTTTCTCTGAAAGTTCTCTATGTAAGGTGCGGGCTAAGGGTTCGCACCTTAATCATTTGGTCATGAGCCAAATATGTTAACTATTACACCAACCCGCGTTTGTGCTAACCCAGAAGAGATTCGAACTCTCGGTTTAACAGTGAAAATGTTACGTCTTAACCCACTTGACCACTGGGTCTTAGCCTAGTGTAAGTATTGCACTTACTTCTACCGATTACAAAACGGTAACATTACTTTTATGCTAACCAGGCAGAAAAAAAATACGAAAATAGTACTTTTTAGTAAAAAAAAATAATTAGTACTTTATACCTGAAAACTTCATAGTCCGTACAGCTAAAGCCTAATACGTAATGTTTTATTACGTTTATATGAGTATAAAAAAGTAAGCTTCGAGCTTATATGCATTCAGCTCTTATCTTTAATTGACGTGGCTTTCTTGCCATGCTTACTAATAATTAGAGGTATTTCAGTTAAAATACTAAATTAATAAACAACAAGTAAACTATTGGTCAACATACCCAATTCCTTTCGTACAAAGGGGCAATCTTTATTTTACTCAAAATTCCTCTAGA